TTTTTTTTTTTTTACAATATTATTTTGGCTTTTTTTTCTTATCAAAACCGTATAGTCGGTATTGTATTCTGAAGTCTTCAAAGAAATAAAAAAAAGAGGCTTAAGTGCGGTTCTGTTTCATCTTGTTTGTATTTTTCACCAAACAAACTATTTGATTTGATTTTTAACTGCACAAAAAAATAGATCCACTTTTATTTTTTAATATATATATATATATATATATATATATATATATATTTAAATTTATATTTATATGTATAAAAGAATGTAAAACAAATATTCTTGTTTGTCAATAATGCATCAATAATTATTTTTCAATTTTTGCTCTCTGTCGAATTACGACAGGTTTAAACAGAAGATAGTTAATGTATTTATATACTATAATACACAGTTCCTTATCAACTTTCACTTAATTTGGCTTCCTTTTTTTGCTGTTGTTGTTGTTGTAACTATTATTATTCTAATTATTGAACACGTAAATACTGCAACATCTGAAATAAAGAAAAAAAAAAGTATTTTTTTTTATAACAATAAACAAAGTCAAAAATTTCAAATATTGTATCGATACAATAAAACAATTTTTTGGAAGTTTAAAAAGTTAAAAATGTTTTTCATAATTGAAAACTTTTTTTAACAAGTTTAAAAAGTAATTTAAGGATAGATATGTTGCATTTTTTAAGTGTAATCGTTACAAAAATTATCCGTCAAAAGATTAATTATGTAAATAAAAAATTGAAAAACGAATTTTTGTCAGCTGACTTTTGTGAGTAAAAAAAATTTTACTTGTGAAAACCGATATCGATAAAAATTTATACTTTTGCTTCTGCCTTCTTTCACCTTTTATCTTTTATTTTATTTTATTTTATTTTTTTTTGTTTTTACAAGGCATTCTAGTTTAAAATTTTTTGTACACAGAATACTTTTAATACTTAGGAAACAGCTCTTTTCTGCAGAAATAGTTGCCGTGTCCTTCAGTGCAGTATAACAGTTATCCGCTCGCAGTAAAAATTGCTTTTACGGTTTCTAAAGCCATTTAACTAAAAAGTGTATCTC